AGGGTCTTCCCTGAAAGAGATGACGTCTAGATGGGAGCATATGTTGTTCTAGAACCTGAACATAGTTCTCTGCATTAATGGTGCCTTTCCAGACATGCAAGCTGCCCATTCCACAAGCGCTCATGCAACCCCATACCATCAGTGATGCAGGCTTCTGAACGGAGCGTTGATAACAACTTGGGCTATCCTTGTCCTCTCTGGTCCGGATGACATGGCGTCCCAGTGTTCCATAAAGAACTTCAAATCGTGACTCATCTGACCACAGAACAGTCTTCCATTTTGCCACACTCTATTTTAAATGACCCCTGGCCCAGTGCAAACGTCTGAGCTTGTGGAGCTTGCTTAGAAATGGCTTCCTCTTTGCACTGTAGAGTTTCAGCTGGCAACGGCGGATGGCACGGTGAATTGTGTTCACTGACAATGCTTTCTGGAAGTATTCCTGAGCCCATTCTGTTATTTCCTTGACAGTGGCATTCCTGTTTGAGGTGCAGTGACGTTTAAGGGCCCGGAGATCACGAGCATCCAGTAGAGTTTTACGGCCTTGACCCTTACGCACAGCGATTGTTCCAGATTCTCTGAATCTTTTGATGATGTTATGCACGGTTGATGATGATAACTTAAAAGTCTTTGTTATTTTACGCTGGGTAACACCATTCTGGAATTGCTGCACTATCTTTCTGCGCAACAATGGTGGAATTAGTGATCCTCTTACCATCTTGGCTTCTGAGAGACACTGACACTCGGAGAAGCTCTTTTTATACCCAATCATGTTGTCAATTGACCTTATTAGTGTTAATTGGTCTTCCAGCTGTTCGTTATATGATCAATTTCCTTTTTCCAGCCACTTATTGCTACTTGTCCCAACTTTTTTGGGATTTGTTGACACTGTGAAATTTTGAATCAACATATTTTTCCTTTAAAATGTTACATTTACTCAGATTAAACTTTTGATCTGTCATCTATGTTATATTACGAATAAAATATTGACATTTGCCATCTCCACATCATTGCATTCAATTTTTATTCACAAATTGTTTAGTGTCTCAACTTTTTTGGAATCCGGTTTGTAACTGAGTATCATCAGCATAACATTAATCAAGCCAAACAAGTTAAAAGAAGCAGACCTTTAGCTAAAATGAGTTAAACAGTAGCTACAACTAGAAAGTTTCTGGAGAAACTTTGATGGGGACTGCCTATTTATTATTAAATTATTATTAATAATAAATATTAATAATTAATAATCCATCCATCCATCCATTTTCTAACCCTTAACCGGGGTCAGGTCACGGGGGTAGCAGCCTAAGTAGGGAGGCCCAGACTTCCCTCTCCCCAGCCACTTGGGCAAGCTCTTCCGGGGGAGTCCCGAGGCATTCCCAGGCCAGCCGAGAAACATAGTCCCTCCAGCATGTCCTGGGTCTTCCTCTGGGCCTCCTCCCGGTGGGACGTGTCCGGAACACCTCACCAGGGAGGCATCCAGGAGGCATCCTAAACAGATGCCCAAGCCACCTCAACTGGCTCCTCTTGATGTGGAGAAGCAGCGGCTCTACTCTGAGTCCCTCCTGGATGATCGAGCTTCCCACCTTATCTCTAAGGGAGAGCCCAGACACCCTGCAGAGAAAACTCATTTTGGCCGCTTGTATCCGAGATCTCATTCTTTCTGTCACAACCCAAAGCTCGTGACCATAGATGAGGGTAGGAACATAGATCGATCGGTAAATTCAGAGCTTCGCCTTTTGACTCGGCTCTCTCTTCACCACGACAGACCAGTACAGTGCCTGCTTCACTGCAGATGCTGCACCTATCTGCCTATCGATCTCACGCTCCATTTTTCCCTCATTCGTGAACAAGACCCCAAGATACTTGAACTCCTCCACTTGGGGCAGGACCTCCTCCCTGACCCGGGGAGGGCACTCTACCCTTTTCCGGCTCAAGACCATGGCCTCGGATTTGGAGGAACTGATCCTCATCCCGGCTGCGTCACATTCGGCTGCGAACCGCTCAAGCGAAAGCTGTATATCACGATCTGATGAAGCCAATAAGACCACATCATCTGCAAAAAGCAGAAGCAGAGACGCAATCCTAAGGCCACCAAAATGGATCCCTTCAACACCTTGGCTGCGCCTATAAATTCTGTCCATAAAAGTTATGAACAGAATAGGTGACAAAGGGCAACCGTGGCGGAGTCCAACTCTCACCGGGAACAAGCCCGACTTACTGCCGGCGATGCAGACCAGGCTCTGACACCGGTCATACAGGGACCTAACAGCCCGTATCAAAAGACCCGGTACCCCATACTCCCAGAGTACCCCCCACAGGGTTCCCCGAGGGACGCTGTCGAACGCCTTCTCCAAGTCCACAAAGCACATGTAGAACGGTTGGGCAAACTCTCACGCAACCTCCAGGACCCTGCTGAGAGTGTAGAGCTGGTCCAGTGTTCCACGGCCAGGACAAAAACCGCACTGCTCCTCCTGAATCCGAGGTTCAACTATACGATGGACCCTCCTCTCCAGAACCCCCGAATAGACCTTACCAGGGAGGCTTAAGAGCACGATTCCCCTGTAGTTGGAACACACTCTACGGTCCCCGTTTTTGAATAGGGGGACCACCACCCCGGTCTGCCAATCCAGGGGAACTTCCCCCGATGTCCACGCAATATTGCAGAGTCGCATAAGCCAACACAACCCTACAACATCTAGAGCCTTAAGGAACTCCGGGCGAATCTCATCCACCCTTGGGGCCCTGCCACCGAGGAGCTTTTTAACCACCTCAGTGACCTCAGCACCAGATATTGGAGGGCCCGACCCAGATTCCCCAGGCTCCGCTTCCTCAGTGAAAGACGTGCCGGTGGGATTGAGGAGATCTTCAAAGTATTCTGCCCATCAACCCACGACATCCCGAGTTGAAGTCAGCAGCACACCACTCCCACTATAAACAGTGTTGGTGGCGTACCGCCTTCCCCCCCGAGACACGGGATGGTGGACCAGAATCGCCTTGAAGCCGTGCAGAAGTCATTCTCCATGGCCTCTCCGAACTCCTCCCATGCCCGAGTTTTTGCCTCAACGACCACCCGAGCCGCATGTCGCTTGGACTGCCAGTACCCATCAGCTGCTTCTGGGGTCCCACAGGCCAAAAAGGCCCGATAGGATTCCTTTTTCAGCCTGACAGCATCCCTCACCGACGGTGTCCACCATCAGGTTCGAGGGTTGCCGCTGCGACAGGCACCAACAACCTTGCGGCCGCAGCTCCGGTAAGCTGCCTCGACAATAGAGGCATGAAACATGGTCCACTCGGACTCAATGTCCCCCACCTCCCCTGGAACATGTTCCAAGTTCTCCCGGAGGTGGGAGTTAAAACTCTGTCTCACAGGAGACTCTGCCAGACGTTCCCATCAAACTTTCACAATATGTTTGGGTCTGCCAGGTCTGACCGGCATCCTCCCCCACCATCGGAGCCAACTCACCACCAGGTAGTGATCAGTGGACAGCTCCGCCCTTCTCTTCACACGAGTGTCCAAGACATGCGGCCGCAGATCAGATGAGACAATGACAAAGTTGATCATCGAACTGCGGCCTAGGGTGTCCTGGTGCCAAGAGCACATATGGACACCCTTATGCTTGAACAAGGTGTTCGTTATTGACAATCCATGACAAGCACAGAAGTCCAACAACAGAACACCACTCGGGTTCAGATCAGGGGGGCCGTTCCTCCCAACCAGACCCCTCCAGGTCTCACTGTCATTGCCCACATGAGCATTGAAGTTCCCCAGCAGAAAAAGGGAGTCCCCAGGAGGTGCATTTTCCAGTACCCCCTCCAAGGACTCCAAAAAGGGTGGATAATCTGAACTGCCGTTTGGTGCATAAGCACAAACGACAGTCAGAACCCGTCCCCCCACATGTAGGTGGAGGGAGACCACCCTTTTATTCACCGGGGTGAACCCCAACACACAGGCACCAAGATGGGGGGGCAATAAGTATGCCCACTCCTGCTCGGCGCCTCTCACCAGGGGCAACTCCAGAGTGGAAGAGTGTCCAGCCCCTCTCAAGGAAACTGGTTCCAGAGCCAGAGCCATGCGTAGAGGTGAGTCCGACTATTTCTAGCCGGAACCTCTCAGCCTCAAACACCAGCTCAGGCTCCTTCCCCACCAGTGAGGTGACATTCCACGTCCCAATAGCCAGCTTCTGTAGCCGAGGATCAGACCGCCAGGGTCCCCGCCCTCGGCCACCACCATAATTAATAATATTAATAATTGATATTAATACATTGTCAATTTATTAATTATTATAAACTATTAATGTATTTGATAATACTAATAATTAATATTAACTATCAATTATTAATATTAGTAATTTTTAATGTTATTATTTGTAATTATTAAAATGAATCATTAATAATTTAAGTTAATTATTATTTTTACTAATTAATAATAATAATAATAATAATAATATGTGATAATAAGTGCCTTCCATGCATGTTGAACCAAAATGGCTCCCGACATTACTCAGTTTCTTTGAAAAGTTTTCTCCTATTCATTTCCTATGGGAAATTTGTCATTTTCGTTAGCAAACTATGTTGCCATGGTAACGCCAATTGCCAACAAAAGTAATAGCACACATCTCGGAGCCGGGCCGGTTGTTTGGATATAACTGTTGTGGGGGTCCACTTTGTGGTTTGGGCCACATTAAAGTTGAAAAAGATACGCTTTTCAGGTGTAGAATAATAAGTGGGCAGTCACCAACTAGTTCCTGGAGTTGATGAAATATTGCGTCTTTGTTCGCAAATTACGTCGCCATGGTAACTTGAAATGCCAATAAAAGTAATCGCACACATCACGGGGCCGAGCCAGTCGTTTTGATATAACTTTTGTGGGGGTAGACACTGTGGTTCGGGTTGCATTAACGGAGATAGAAATGTAGACTCGCTTCCGAGGTGTAGAATAATAGGTGCCTGCCATGACTACAAACTAAGTTGTCTTGACTGAACTCTTTTGTCTCTACCTTCAGGTGGACTAGACCTGGCAGATGCCCTCAAACCAGGTAAAGTTCAAGTGACCCTCGCAGACCACACACAAAGGCTTACAGAGATACACTAGTCCCTTGCTACTCCGCGGTTCAACTTTTGCGGACTCGCACTTTCGCGGTTTTTCAAAGTCAGATTGGACATGACACACAATGAGCAGAATGATGGATGATCTGCACGAGAGGCGTGGCTTGTTTATTTAAAATATATATTTTTAATGATTTAGCATCTGTTGCATCTGTGTGCATCCCACAGGTGCAGGGAAAAGCTCCCTTCTTTAGCGTGTCCTGATCTTGGCTCTCTGCCACACCCACTTCACCTCTGCAATCACACTCATTATCCTCCTGTGTAAATAAGCAATTTAAATTTAAATACTGTAATATTAAAAAAACAAAAACAACAATCCATGCTGCATGGATTATTATTATTTTTTTAATTTACCGTATTTTCCGGACTATAAGTCGCTGATGTTTTCAGTTTGGCCAGTCTTGCGACGTATAGTCGAATCCTGGATCTGTGGACCATGCGCCTCGCTGCCCCCTTCCTTCGCACTCCGGCGGTGCAGGGACAGGCATGGCTGCTGACTGGGACAGACTGCTCAGTGCGACGCGACCGCGCCGCCCAGGCGAAATGAAGCTGTTCTCACCATTAAAGTGCATTTATTAAGGAAAAGTTAAAAGGATACAAACCTTTGCTATAATGTCGAGCAAACAAATAATTGTTTTTAGGTGTTAATCTTGTTCAATTTTGAAGAACGGCAAAAGCAAGTCTTCCTGTGCGCGCTCCAGCGGCCGCCAATCGATTTTTGGCACAACACTGGCCAGTGTGACTTATACTCCGAAGGGACTTATTTTTTAAATTTCTGTGTTTTTCCAGAGAATTTCCACTTTTATGCGCACATTTCTGCGTCTTTCAGCCTAATTGGGCACAATTGTGCTCTCTCCACTTTCTTCTGGTAGCTTAGGCTTCTTTCTGCCATTTCAGCTACATTTCAGCTATTTATTAATTTAAGGAACCATTCCACCCACGGTAAACGAGGGACTACTGTACTCACTAAAGTACAAAGTACTCTTAACTTATGAAGGAGTCTCTTCAGGTATGGACCTTTTGTCCATTCTTGATGTCCAAATGTCTCCGGCTCCTTCAGGTTGGACGGTTTTGTTGTGTCAAACGGTCTTTAAATCAAACCAGAGGTTCTCAGTTGGACTGAGGTCTGGACTTTGGCTGGACTAGTGCAGAACTTTTACCTGGTCCTTCGTAAAGCAGCATAGTGTTGGAAGCAGGAGAACATGGATGATAGGCTGATCTGCGCAGAGTTCAATTCAAATCCAGATGTTGTGATGTTTACTAGGGGTGAATAATTTTAATGAAGTCTTCCAGCCTGCAGGGTGGTGTTATCAAAGATGCAGAAAAAAACATTTGATTCCTTTTTACAGATGACACGCTGACTGTAAAACCCAATAAACTGTTGCAGATTTCATCTCTGATTTCTTTGTTTCCACAGGCCCCACCCCTAAAATGGACAACCCCCCCAAAGTTCCTCCAAAGAGCGGGGGAGGTGAGTTGGTGCTGGTGTTTTTATCAACTTACTTCCTGGAATCAGCAGACAGGATAGTGAACCTAAACTAGAAAGTTCCTGGAGAAACTTTGACGGGGACTGCCTATTTATTATTAAATTTTTATTAATAATAAATATTAATAATTACTAATATTAATAATTAATATTAATACATTCTCAGTTTATTAATTATTATAAACTATTAATATATTTGATAATAATATTAAATATCAATTATTAATATTAGTAATTATTAATGTTATTATTTGTAATTATTAAAATTAATCATAATAATTTTAGTTAATTGTTATTTTTACTAATTAATAATAATAATAATAATAGGTGATATTAGGTGCCTTCCATGCATGTTGAACCAAAATGGCTCCCGATGTTACTCAGTTTCTTTGAAAAGTTTTCTCCTATTCATTTCCTATGGGAAATTTGTCAATTTCGTTAGCAAAATATGTCGCCATGGTAACGCCAATTGCCAACAAAAGTAATGGCACACATCTCGGACCCGGGCCGGTCGTTTGGATAAAACTGTTGTGGGGGTCCACTTTGCGGTTTGGGCCACATTAAAGTTGAAAAAGATACGCTTTTCAGGTGTAGAATAACAAGTGGGCAGTCACCAACTAGTTCCTGGAGTTGGTGAAATATTGCGTCTTTGTTTGCAAATTACTTCGCCATGGTAACTTGAAATACCAATAAAAGTAATCGCACACATCACGGGGCCGAGCCGGTCGTTTTGATATAACTTTTGTGGGGTAGACGCTGTGGTTCGGGTCGCATTAACGGAGATAGAAATGTAGACACTCTTCCGAGGTGTAGAATAATAGGTCCCCAACAATAATTAAAAGTTGCTGTCTGACACCAGAGCCACTGGTCACATGGTTACCACAGGGTTGTGTTCTCTGGACCAGAGTCCAGCTGGTTCTGATGTGATGCTGAAACATGATGACCATGGTGGTTTTGCTTTCTTTCAGGCGGGGGAAGTTTCGATGACTCAGACCTGTTTGATGTGGGAGCTGGAGACTACAAACCTGATGGGGGTCGCTCAGGAGGTAAGACCTCAGCAGGACATCCACCATGTCCACACTTAGAGTAAATTGGGCTGCTGCTGATGCTGCTTGGTGTTCCAGCTCCACCTGCTTTATCAGAAGAGCTGACTGATTGTAGTCAGGTTCACAGCAGAAGGTGCTGCTTGTTAAGAACAAACTGACCTGTTTGGTTTCACCGCCTGGGCCGAAGCTTTGTCAGCAGCTAGCTTCTGGAATTATTCATGAGGTGCTTCTACGTCTGTCACGATAACAAATTTTGCTGGGTGATTAATTTTCTCAGAAATTATTGCGATAAACAATAATATTGTTTGAAATTTGACAGTAATTAGTAATTATTGTCAAATTTAAGAAGAAATGGTTAATTTGTTTTGTATGTAGTACTTTTTTTGACCACCGGATGACAGTATATGACTGTTTGAACTGAAGGATGGATAGTGAGGGAGCAAGCAGCGTGTCTCTTTAAGAAAAATGGGAGGGAGGCCCCTTGCGTGACATGGGCTTCTCTCCTTTTTTTTGGTTCTCAAAATGGCGGATGCTCTGTGTGATTTGAGCTCTTTAGCATAACATTAGTCACACAAAGCTTTTAATTAAAAAAATCAGTAACCAAGTTCTCGCTTCTTTTTGCAGAGAAAAACAAAATTTGACACTTAGGGCACGAGTTTCAACCATGAATTTTGGAGCTTTGACAAGACGCAGGTTTTTTTTCCCCATGGTTGGCCCGTTAGCTTAGCGTCATAGCTTAGCTGCTATTAAAGATCCAAAAACAAGATTTTGGACAGTTAAAATGGATTTTAAAGAGTAAAGAGAAAGGGAGGGGTCAGTGAAGAGCACCGGAGTTGAGCCTTTTGTCATCCATTATCTTCAGTAGAAAGAGAGAGTCACGAAGAAACGACAAAGCTGATAAATGAAAATGAGGTCACTTCACCACTTGCTCTTTCCGAGGTCGAATGCGTTTCCCCTCCCCTCCCGCTCCGCTTTGCTTTGCTGCTCTGTCTTGTATGTGAAACTGCTTCTGAGCCTCTCTTGCATATCTTCTGAACCGTAATTATGGACTTGATTTAATCAGTTGGTCCCTCATCACAATTTACAACATTTCTTCAAAAAGAAGACCGGCTTTAGGCGAGCCAATTTACCCTGTTGGCACGCAGGCAGCTGGATATCTCATCGACTTGGAAGACTTGATGATGTGTCTATCTCTGCTGCCATTTGTGGATTTTAAGGATACATATTTAATTGGATTTACGAAAACTGGTTCCTACTTTTTGATTTGGCTGGTTGCTGGTTTTATCTACAATCAAGGAAGTCGTCAGCAGCAAATTTGGACCCGATCACACTGCTTGCCTTATGATGGCTTGGTTTGTGCCTCGAGTGCCCAGACTCATATGCTTTGAGCAGAGTGAATCACACCTCTGGGATTTTGCTCGGGCACGTTCCGTCGGTGTGGCCATGTATTTTGGACATTTTGGAACTGTTTGGACCAACACAGACTCAAGGTAGATGTCATTAAGTTCTGCATGTGCCCAAAACAACTGTGTATTTATCTGAATTTGGCTCCCCTGGCTGGCCTTGAAGGTCACCTTATCTGAATTTGCCTGGAGAACATGTAATCTGACGTTCTCCCCCCCCCCTCCCATCGAGGAATTTCCAACTGATAACCAGAGGAAACCAGCTGAATAAACATTGTGTCATCATTTCAGGACTTTTTGATTCCCAAAGGCATTGTCCTTGGCCATTCCCCGACTTCCATCGAGAATGTTTACGGATCTCACCAGAGGGAACTGGTTGATTATTCCATACTTATCAGAACTCTTACAGTGCCCTCGAGAGCGTCTATGGACATTGCTCACCGCTCTCATTGTCTCCCGTCTTACTGTCGAGTCTGACTTACTGCCAGCAATGCAAACCAAGCTCTCGCACCGCTTCTATAGTGACTGAACAGCCCGTAGCAACGGGCCCCCAATTCCATACTCACAGAGCACCCCCCACAGTGTACACCGAGGAACACGGTCGAATGCCTTCTCCAAATCCACAAAACACATGTAGACAGAATGGGCAAACTCCCATGACCCCTCGAGGACCCTAGTGAGGGTAAAGAGCTGATCCAGTGTTCCACAGCCAGGACGGAACCCACATTGTTCCTCCTGGATTTGAGGTTTGACCAACGATCGGACTTGCTTCTCCAGTACCCCTGAATAGACCTTACCATGGTGGCTAAGGAGAGTGATGCCCCTCCCCTTTTTGAAGAGGGGAACCACCACCCCAGTCTGCCAATCCAGTGGCACTGCCCCCAATGTCCACGCGACGTTGCAAAGGTGTGTCAACCAAGACAGCCCCACAATATCCAGAGCCTTAAGGAAATCAGGGCGAATCTCATCCACTCCCGGAGCCCTGCCGCCTCTGAGCTTTTTAACTACCTCGGCGACCTCAGCCACAGTTTGGACATGTCCAGTTCAATTCAGTTTATTTATATAATGCCAAGTCACAACAGAAGTCATCTCCAGGCATGAGACAGTAGTTTGGTCATGTCCAGAGGAGGGACAGTGGGTATATTGGTGTAAGGATAATAGAAATGCAGCTGCCAGGAAAAAACAAAGTTATATGGATGCAGTTGGAGAGGACATGGAGGTAGTTGGAGACAGAGGATGCAGAGGACAGAGTGAGATAAAGGAAGATGACTCGCTGTGGAGACCGCACAGTGTAGCTGCATTTACTACAGCGTGCAGTCTCTGGACATTATTACCTGCAGTGTTCCCTCATTGCGGACTGAACTTGGCAAATGGGCCTTCTCTTACTCCGCTCCTGTTTCCAGGAATATCTTGCATAAAGATCTGAAGCTCTCAACCTTGACCTCTCTAAGTGACTTCAAACAACTGCTAAATTCATGGCAAAAACCAACGCAGACATGTTCTTGTTTTTAGAATTTTATATCGCTTTAAAATGTAGCTGTTTTTTTTTATATATAATTTCTTCTTCTTCTTTTACTTTTTGATTTTAATGCTTTTTACATGAGTGTCTGTTGTTTGTACCTCATCTGTGTTCTTTGTTTAAAACAGGTCTCTTGTAAATGAGTCCCCCTGACTCGATGAGACTAACCTGCATAAACAAAGGTTGAATGAATGAAAATTTAATCCAACAAAGTTAAGTCTGGTCATCTGGACAGATTCTTCTTGGTTGAATAACTGGAGTAACCAGCATAACTGGTTTGTCCACTTTGAGATAGTGCTATTTACGGGACTGAGTTCGTGGCATGGCCTCAGACTGATGAAGTTTTTGGATGAAAGACGAAATGTTTCACCCAAAAAGAGTCTGTCCAGATGACCTGATTTAACTTTTTGGATTTATTCACCTCATTGATTGAGCTTTCATCAGGATATAAATAAAATTTGGAATAAGGCTGTAAAATAACAGACAGACAGTGTGTGAGAGTGGGTTCTGTTCTACTGTGTACTTTTTAAAGATTTAAAGAGAACAAAACTTTGCAGAAACTAACTTCTTTTTATTACTCTGCACTCAGGTCGAGCAGTGGACCCTGGCAATGATCCTCAGGGTATGTTCTTGATACTTATGTTTTTATTTTATTTAAACATGCAAACAAAAATAAATTCAGTTCGGTCTACAGGTTACAAACAAAAAATTAATTCTTTATGTCATCAATAGAAATGGTAGTTATAATTTCAGGATTTGTGCATACATATACATCAGTACTTATATACAATATTTAAAAAGTAATGCAGCATACAAATAAAAAAAACATTATAAACTGCAACACAGAAAAAATAGTTCATAAAATGTTGGTACATTGTGTAAAATGTATATAAAACAGGCTATAATCGATATTTTATTTACAAACCGGATTTCAAAAAAGTTGGGACACTAAACAAATTGTGAATAAAAACTGAATGCAATGATGTGGAGGTGCCAACATCTAATATTTTATTCGTAATATAACATAGATGACAGATCAAAAGTTTAATCTGAGTTAATGTAACATTTTAAAGAAAAAATATGTTGATTCAAAATTTCACAGTGTCAACAAATCCCAAAAAAGTTGGGACAAGTAGCAATAAGTGGCTGGAAAAAGGAAATTGAGCATATAACGAACAGCTGGAAGACCAATTAACACTAATTAGGTCAATTGACAACATGACTGGGTATAAAAAGAGCTTCTCAGAGTGTCAGTGTCTCTCAGAAGCCAAGATGGTAAGAGGATCACCAATTCCACCATTGTTGTGCAGAAAGATAGTGCAGCAATACCAGAATGGTGTTACCCAGCGTAAAATAGCAAAGACTTTTAAGTTATCATCATCAACCGTGCATAACATCATCAAA